GTGATTTCTGCTTGCTGAGTCCATTATCTTGAACTCATCAGACTGATAGAACCCTCACCCTGCTTGTCTTGACCTAAAAGATCTATTTTCTCTTTCCTGTCCCAACTTACTCCCTGGTCCTCAGACCCTTGGCTTACTCTTGATTCCCTCACTGATCCCTGATCCCTGCTACCCCCTTGGCCTCTGTACTGAATCCCTGGGCTTTTGGCTTATACCTGACTAATCAATCATTGCATCTTAACTCCAACTTTCCCTGTAAAGTCACTTTAATCTTGATGTGGTTGAAGCTCCAATGAATCTTTCTTAATTTAGCCATAATTATTATTGAGAACCATAATAACAACAACCTATATTTCTATTATTGGTTTTCCCCAACAACCCCAGGTGATATTTCACACATAAGGAAACTCAGATTCATTGTTTAAGTGGTTTGCCTAAAGTCGTATGGTCTTTACACCAGAAATAGGTGCCCTGGCCAACAAGCTTCATAGACTCATCCTCCATGAAGTCTTAGTTCTTTACTGCCTTGTCAGAAGTAGAGAGGAAAGAAGGAAAGGGGATGGGCTTCTTCCAGTTGCATTAGTGGGAAAGTCTTTGGGGATTACTTTTAGGGGGACATCTCGAATATTTTACTTCCCATCCATGTCTCCTCTGGGTCTCATATAGCAATTCCTAACATTCTCTTTGGATCCTCAGTTTTTCAGCTGATCACATTTTATGTCCCTCATTGCTTGTTCTCCAGGGTTGTCATGTTTTCTCTGAGGCTGGACATTCCCTTAAAGCAAACTTGTGACCCACCTCACTTAAACTCAGCTCCTTCTCCTTCAGATGAAGGTCCCCAGGAAAGAGTGGAGTTTCAGGGTTTGCTTCAGTTGTTGGGGTCAGAATTGTCTGTAGTTTGTGTCCTGTTAAGATGATTGCAACTGATTTCCAGCAGCAGACTACTCAAGAGGCAGCTCCAGATTTGGGGCACCTTTCAGAAAGTTTTTCTTTATCATATGTGAAGTCAAAACAGTCCCCTGTAGACCAAGAGATGGAGAGCAATCCAACCCTTTCTACATATGGTTCCAATGTACCTCATTTGTCCAGGTCAACTTTTCTGGTCTTGGAATTCAGTTTGAGTTCCTCTCTGACTTTTGGGAAGGTGGAATCCCACCGCTGCCACCCCAAGTAATGAAACAGGGAACCTCCCAGGCAATCCAAAGATAGCAGCTCCTGTAGCCCTTTACCTTGGGTAATGTTTTGCTGCCTCCACAATAGGAATCCAACAGGAGACAGATTTCTCTTCCAAATGTCACCCCCTTGGGATCAGGATTTCTCTCTGGTATTTTTCCTCTTTCACCATTAAGATTCTACCAAGAGGCCATCATATTGGCTCACAAGAGCCAATCTCTATTCCAGCATCTGAGAATCCCAGGCACCTCTGTCACTTACAATCTGTGTGACCTTTTCCTCATTTGAAAATTGAGCAGAATGTATTAGATAACTCAACAGATTATCAATTCCAGATAAACATGATGGTCTTACAGCTGATGTATAACACAGCCTCGTGTTCGATTGCCACAGGTTCAACAATATTTCTTCTTTATCACCTTCCCCTCATTCCCCATCGGCCTTTTAGCCTTGACACTTCTGAGTTCCACTCCTCTCAGCCTATGCCTAACATCTGTGATCTCTCATGACCCCAGCTTCTCTCCGACCCTCCTCTGTCCCAGTGTCCCTTCATCCTCTCTTCACCCTCCCTTCTCCCTTTCTCCAGAACAGTGGATTTTAACCTAGAGTCCGTGAAGCTGTTTTTTTGTGTGTTTGTTTTTTACTTTCCCCCTCCACTTGATAGTACTTTATTTTTTTCAATTACATGTAAAGATTGTTTTCAACGTTCACTTTATAAGATTTTGAGCTCCAAATTTTTCTCTCCCTCTCTTCCTCCCCTTCCCCCTCTCCAAGATGGCAAGCAATCTGATATAGGTTATACATGTACAATCAAATTAAACATATTTCCACACTAGTCATGTTGTGACACGAACTTGTTTTTTAAAAAGTATTTTGATTACTGTATTTCAATATAATTTTTGTTGTCATGTCCAACTCTTCATGACCCCATTTAGGGTTTTCTTGGCAGAGGTATTGGAGTAGTTTGCCATTTCCTTCTCCAGCTCATTTTACAGATGAGGAAACTGAGGCAAACAGGGTTAGGTGACTTGCCCAAGGTCACATAGCTAATATGTGTCTGAGGCCAGGTTTGAACTCAGGCAGATGAGTCTTCCTGACTTCAGGCTTGGTGCTCTACCCACTGAGCCACCTTGCTGCCTGTCAATATAATTGTTTTCCTCTACAATCCTCTGTATTTTATTTTATGCTTTTAAAGACATTGTTTTCAGAAGGAGTTCATAGACTTCACTAGATTCTACTCAAAGGTCCACGACATCAGAAAGTTTAAGGATCCCTACAGGTGTGCAGTGTTTATGTAGAAACTGTTCCTTTAGCCTCGATCTTCACACCTTCATTTATGGGAAGCCAGTGTTCTCTGCAGACCCTGCTACCCACATCCTGGTCCACCATAACCTCCTTAGAGCATCGAAGATTTAGAAGAAGGACCTTAGGGGTCATAAAGTCCAACCCCCTTATTTTAAGGATGAGGAAACTGAGACACAGAGACATTCAGTGACTTGCCCAGGGTCACACAGCTAGTATAGATGTTTGAGGCAGGATTTGAATGGAGGTCTTCCTGACTTCCAAGTTTGGTACTCAATCCACTGTATCACCTCACTTCCTCTGTCCTATTTGCCAGTTCTCCATTGATATTCTCTCCTAAGACTATTTGTAGTATCCACAGGAGACACTTCCACTCTTGTCCCAATGCCCCTATCCTCATTACCCCCATTATTGCTTCTGTCTTCCCCAAACTATATGTATTCTAGATTGTGCCACACCCTCTCTGGTCTCTCTTCCCTGACCCCCCACTCCTTGCTCATCTCCTTTGACTCTGCATGACATGCCCCACTGGGGCCCTGCCCTAGCTGCTTTGACCCTGGAGCCCGGGTTCTCCTTAGCTATCCTCAATCATTGCCCCTCCCATCCCGGGCCCCTCCGCCTCCCCACACCCTCCCACTCCTTGTTCTTATGGTTCCTGACTCCAGACTCTCTTCCCCCAGACGGTGCGTAGTGTTCGCCGCAGACACTGCTACCCACCCACATGGCGTCGCTGGTTGTTCTACCTATGCCCGGGCAGCCTCATTGCTGGCAGTGCAGTTCTTCTCTATGCCTTTGTGGAGACGCGGGACAATTACTTCTACATCCACAGTATCTGGCATATGCTCATTGCAGGCAGCGTGGGCTTCCTGCTCCCCCCAAGAGCCAAATCTGATGGCAAAGTCCCACCCCTGTCCAGGCCCCGGGGATGTGGTTACCAGCTCTGCATCAATGAGCAGGAGGAGCTGGGCTTGGTGGGCCCAGGGGGCACTTCCATCAACAGCATTTGTGCCAGCTGACACCTGTCCCTGGGCATAAAATCCTCCCTGGGGACATTGAGTTCACCCTGGAACACACAGCCCATCTCTGGGGACCTGGAGCCCTTCTTGAGAATATGGAGCTCGTCAACATGGGGACTCAGAGCCCTCCTTGTGGACACATGGCTTTGGGGGCACAGAGCTCTCCTCTGGGACATGGAGTTTGTCCTTGGGATGTAGAACTCACTTTGGGAGCAACCGTTCCTTCCTGTGGATGTGGAGCCCATAGACCCCAGAAATACTGACTTTTCCAACAACTGTGGCCATCTATTGCTTCCAGCAGGATTCCTCACCCAGTTGCACAGTGTCTCACACTTTGTCTTTGAGTGGATATAAAATATGGATGGAGTGGAGGGAGACTTGAGGTGCAGTGGAGTGGGCTATAACTGGGGTGGCTCCCCTGGAGTGGGCTGTGGTGTATTTCCAATGAAATATGTGCCAGCTCTTCCTTTAGCCATACTTTTTTGAAGAAGCAGAGGTTGGGGGTCAGAAAATAGAATGTGGGTTAAGGGTCAGAGGTCAGGTGGCATCTTCTTTGCTTTCCTGGTCCTGTTGAATATTCCTATGGCTAAAAAAGGCCACCCCGAATGCTAGGCATCACATTAGGAAGACAAAACAAATGAAGCTCCTCCTTACCCCCATTACACTTGATAAACCACTAACCATGTGCACTTCTGGACACTAGATCTCAGACAGGCATAATGGAGCTGGTGGGGACCGATGAATGGGCACAGAAATGGTAGAATAGGGATGGGTGGGTGCCCTTAGTTAGGAAAAATTTACAAAATCCCAGAGGGTGTGAAGGTGGAGAGACATGAAACTTGTAACTCAAACTCCAGACCTTAGAATGAGGGAGAATACCTTTTTGGATTTGAGAGAGAGGCAGGTTTAGGACAAGTAAGCTGATGCAGCAGGGTGTGGTGGATAGATAGCTGGCTTCTGGGTCAGGAAGACCTGGGTTAGAGATATACTTCTGGCACATAATGGTTGGGTGACTTTGGGCAAGTCACTTAATCTGTCAGTGGTCTCTGGTCATTTTCTAAGACTATTAGTTGTTAGAGTAAGTGCCCATCTACATTGGTAGAGGGAATTTCCTCACTGAGATCTCCCTACACCAATGAAATCAGAGATCCAATGCAAACAAGGACTACACATAAGTAATACATTATGCCTCAGACATGGTCAAGGCTAAAAACCTTAACAGGTTTAAGGAGGGTTTTGATAAACCCCTTGATGTCACATCCCTAATGGGGCAATCAAAGGTATTTGGAGATGCCCCTTATCTGGGAGGTGACATCAAGGAGAATGTCTGCCCTTCCCCCAGACTCCCCCATATTTCTCCAGAGACAAAATTCCAAGTGGGGACCACAGGGTTGACCCAGGAGGGCATTGAATTGTGGCTGCTATTTTTGAGGACTCTTTGCTCAGCAGTGATCCTACATCACATAAGAGCATATTCTTTCCAGGGGACTGCACTGCACATCTACCCACTGGCACAACCCTTGAGATTTTCAGCTTTGGCATTAACTACCAGATCATCCTTTTCTTGTAGAATCTAGGAAAATCTCACCTACCCTTATTCTCAACTGCCACTACTGGGAGATACCACCAGGGGGCTTTTGGTTTCTAAAACAGCCCTTATCCCTAGGATCATGGGAAGTGATCTTGTGTTACAGATGAAGTGACTTGCCCAAGGTCACCTGGGGAATAAGTGTGGCAGAGCCAAGATTGGAACCTTCTGCCTTCATATCCAGTATTCTTCACATCGAACCCAACTGCCCCTTCAAGACATGCACAAAACCGATCTGAATTTTTGAAAAGTCCTTACTGCCAGAAAAAAATAGGAATCACCATGATAAAATGAAAATGGGGGAAATATAGGTATAGAGCTTCAAATGAGAGGATATCAAACTCCCAGAGGCATGGTTCATACTGACGGTTACATGTTCGAACTGCTCTGACCTGTCTTCCGTCTAAATCTAGTTCTCATTGGATTTCCCCGGGGACCTCTCGTGCCCCCTTTTTGGGATAGGGGGGTTATCCTTGCCTCCCCTTCTCTTCAGGAAGGAGGAACTTCCCCAGTGTCCCCGGCCCCACCTGACTGGTGGGTAGTAAGCTGAGGTGTCAGTCATCCCTGGTTTGTATAGGAAGCTAGTGGACCTAATGAATGTCACCAAATCTCAGAGTTTCAGAGTTGGAAGGGACTCCAGCAGTCGTCCGGTCCAACTTGCCCAAGAATTCCCTGACAAGTCCAGCCTCACCTTTCGGGATTGCACAAATTGTTTATCAAACCTATGATGGTTAAAAAGTTCGAGAGACATAATTTCTGGGTAATTAATCATGGCTATCAAATAATTAATAAAAAGATGGTCATTTGGTTATCTCTGCTAAACTAAAGACCCCTCCTGGAGGCCTCTTAACACTTATATACCCTTGGAAGAATGGGTGCTCCTGACAGGGCACAATCAACTCTGAATGGTTAACAATGAGAGAACGAATATTATAATGAGAGGTGGACCTATTCTATTTATTTATTTTTTCACTGAGGCAATTGGGGTTAAGTGACTTGCCCAGGGTCACACAACTAGTAAGTGTCTGAGGCTGGATTTGAACTCAAGTCCTCCTGATTCCAAGGCCAGAGCTCTATTCACTGCATCACCTAGCTGCCCCTAAGGTGGACCTATTCTAATGAGGGACTGGGGGCCTGACTTTGATTATGTCACTCTTATCTCTACTCAGGCTGGGCAATCTAGAAAAAGGGATCTACCTCCACCCAAACTTGTCTCAATAGAACACAATGGCCCCAAATCTACTAGACTAGAATCTCTTTACTTTTTGATCAGATCTCAGCTTTCCCAGTTGGGAGTCTGAACAAGATTGTGGAGAATGTTAAATCTAGTCTCATCAGCCCTATTTTTCAGAGACTGATTTGACTTAGTAGAGAATGAGGAAATAGGAAGGGGAAAAAATCCTGGATCTCCCCAATAGTAATGGGTTGTTAATATAAGATAGAAATAATCATTTCTCTCAAATCCAGATCTGACTTTTTGAAACTTTCATCAATTGCTTCTTGTTCTTCTCACTGTGACCAAGCAGATCATTTTTCCATGTCCTCTTTTGTCAAAGTGGAAGCTTAGCATGCCTCTTGGAAAGTCCCCTTTACTCCAAGGAATTTTCTGGAATATACTGATATGTACTCCTCAGGCACATCTAGATCCAAGTGTGCACACAGACACATTCCAGACACTCAACAGCATTTTCGAAGACATATTCAGACACAGGTATAAACATGCCTCCATGTAGAAGGCACACTTAGAACACGCATAGATCTAGCCACAGGTGTATAGACATGTTGAGATTTATACACGTTCACATCCTCCCTGGACACACTCAGGTTCTTAGGGTTATACAGTGTAGGGTTGTAAATCTGGAGTTTAAAGGACACTTAGACTAATCTTTACAAGATAAAGAAACTGAGACCTAGGGAGGTTGAGTGACTTGCCCACATTACAAAGAGTCTAAGGTGACTGTAGGACAGATGATTAAGTGTAAGGGCAGGACCAGGGAGCTGCATCTAGGCTCCTTCTCTGTAAAGTCCAGCAGGGCACAGGGAAAATGTGTGGTCCCAAAATTTAGATGTGAGCAAGCTGGTATCCAGGAAATGGGAAAAACTTTATTTTAAACTTTAAATCAGCCTCAGGTCCAGTGACTTATTAGGCACCAGGTCAGGATAGCTGCCACGTCCATGCCTTTTGGGGCTCTCTGGTTCCCCTTTTCAAGAATCAGTAGATCTTTTTCTCTGCTTTAGTTCAACTGAGGTGACATTGGGATTATTTTCAAAAAGAACTTTTACCAAAAACCCCCAAAACAAACAGAAGGGACCAAAGGCTAAAAAGAGGCACCTGAACGAGTTTAGATTTCATGGATTTCTTCTCCAAGGTCAAGTCACAGATGGGATTGACTGGTCTAGCTTAGAAATCATAGCTCTAGTTCTTTTTCCTCACCCCAATCCTGTTTGGGAAATCTCCCCCAAAGACTCCCTTTTTGGTTTTTTGGAATTACCACCTCCCACTCTCTGTCTTGGCCTTCTTCCCAGCAAGGCAAGGACTGGAGTGAGAATTCCAGTCATATCCATCTGATCAGGAGGGTAGTAGGTAGTTAATGGACCACCCCCAGATGGATGCTTTACACTGATGTGTCTAAGGATGTCTAAGTATATCAAGATACTGGAATTATCCAAATGTAGGCAACCCTAAATATGAGCCACACTTCTCCCCCCGCCCCCATGAGATTTCTTTGAAAGGAAAAAATATGAATAAGTATACAGTGAAAAATAACATCAATCATAGGCCAAACCAAGAGTTTTTATAAAGCCAGATTTGAGGGACGAAAGTACAACCCATATTTAGACCAATATGGTAGAGGGCAGACATCTGAGATCTCACTCAACAGTGCTTTTCCATCTCTGGAGGAAAAAGTGAGGCTGGTGACTTTGCACAGCTCTCCCTTATCTAAATCCAATTAACTTGCATGTCACGGCATCACCAGGGTGATGTTATGGTCCTCTTCGAGAATGAAGGACAAACAATGACCCTGTCCCTAGTAAAGGGACTTCTTTTTTTTTTTTTAAAGAATTTGAGTATATTAGAACTTAAGGATATATTAGACATTATCTAGTTAAAACCTCTTATTTGACAGGTGAGGGCACTGAGACCCAGATATGGGAAGTGATTTGCCTGAAATCACAGAACCACCCCCTACCTTCCTTTCTTCATGTTTCTGCCCAAGTCTTCCATCTGTCCCAAGCTCTCTCATCTAATCTGGGTCCCTGCATCCTGCTGGTATAGGGAAGGGAAGAAAATAAGCATGGCATCTAATTATAGCACCTACTACATGCCAGGCACTGTGCCAAACAATTTACAAATATCTCATTTAATCCTCACAACAACTCTATGAGGTAGGTGCTGTTATCCCCATTCGTCTAAGGCTAGATTTGAACTCAAGTCTTCTTGACTTGAGGCTGAGGCTCTATGCACTGTGCTACGCTAGCCACTTCCTATGATAGGACAGCTATAGTCCCTGTGACTTCTTACAGGCATCTGTTCCTTAACGGAACAGGCCATCCAATGTCACAAATCCTTAGGGATTTCAACATAGCCACCCACACATGGAGGAGAAGCAATAGTTCCCTCACACTCTCTGGAGGTCGGAGCTTGACAGTGGCCCCACCCATCTCTGGCCAGCTCTCAGAATGGGACTTTCTGAGTTACAGCTTTCACAACCCATTCTGAGATCTGGAGTTACCCCCGCTCCCCAGAAGAACCTGTGAGGCAGGGCATGACTACCTCCAGGCTAATGCCCACGAGAAGGGTAGCAGCTGGCGGGGACACCTGTGGCCCTGACATGTTCAGCATGGGTGGTCACTAGGAGCAGGGCCTCAGGGTTGGGAGCCCCTGTTTTAGGAGGGGTCGTCCTGCAGCTCCGAGGGGCCCCAGTGGAGCTAAGCTGAATCTGCAGCTGGGGCTGAGTGACGGCATCGGGCAGGGGCTGCTGGAGAGCCAGGTAGCTGAGCAGGGTTTTAGCCACGGCCAGGGGTGCAGAAGACCCTCCGGAAGCTGCCAGCGCTAGCACATCAACCTCAGGACCGCAGCACAGCAGGGCAGGGCAGGCCCAGCTGGCGATTTGGGAACCTCCCATGAAGTCACTCAGGAGGATACCTGTGGAGGGCGAGAGCCACCCAGAGCCAAAGGTGCTGTTGAGGGAGGAGACAAGGAGGAGCACAGAGCCCTCACTGTCCATGGCTGCCAGGATGCTGCCTACAGGGGCTGCAGGAGTGACCCCGGAGTATGCATCCTGGGCAGCTGCCAGGAACCCAGGGCAGGGGTCAGAGGTCAGCCCCCCTGCCTGCAGGGGGTTCCTCAGTACCTTTAGCAGTAGCTCACCAGCTGTGGGACTTGGGGTGGTAAACAGCAGGCCTTGGGGCAATGCAAGCCGCAGGGCTGGCTCCAGAGTGGGCATGATGCCCTTCAGGGGCTCTTTTAGGAGCAGGTCCTCTGCCAGGGGGTGAAGCAGAGCGCTCAGAAACTGATCATCAGTCTCAGGGGCCTGGGCAGCTCTCTGGAGTACGGCAGCCAGGCCCAGGTTGGTTACACGGGTGCCCTGGCCCAGCACAGTCCCATTGGGGTGGCACAGGAGCGGGCAGAGGCCTGTGGCCTGGCCGGCTGCATCCTGTTCAGCCAGCGCCTCTGCCAGGGCTTGGTCTATGGAGAATCCATCTTGGGCCAGGGCAATGGTAGCAGCCAGCAGCCGGGACCAGGGCAGATGGCCTAGGTTTCGATGCAGAAGGTGGAGGGCAGGCAGAGCCCCCGGCATCCCCAGGCCAGGGGCCAGAGCCTGGGCTGGAGCTGGTGTCAGGGCCATTGTTTGATTGGACGAACTATTATGGAAGAGGGCCCAGAACACAGCACCTGGGAAGCAAGGGAGAAGATTTGTGGCTGTCCTGGGGGGTGGAAAGATGGGGTAGATTTCAAGTTTCTCTGACACAAACTGGTTTGGGGGTAAGTCACATCTACCGAGTGGAAGAGGGACATAGATCGTATTGACATAATCCTGAAGGCTTGGGGGTGGAAGGTCACACTAACCCAGTGCATCCTAATTGGGAAGGGGTCAAACTGACATGGTCCAGAGATATCACAATAACACAATCTGGAGGGGGAGGAGGGTCAAACTGACTTCATCTTGTTGGGTTAGAGAGTAATGCTGCCTTGCTCCAGGGGCATGGAAGGGGCCCAATGATCTAGACAGCAGACCTGGGTTTGAGTCCTGGCTACTTACTTCCTACTTGGGTGAGCAAGGACTAATCGTTTCACCTCTTTTGGCCCTGGTTTTTCTTCTATAAAATGGCAGGGAGATCCTAAGGTGTCTTCCAGTCCTGACAAGTCTGTGATTGTAATCTCGGGCAGATGAAGACATGATGTTTGAGTTAACTTGGAAGCAGAGGAGTTGGGGGCCCAGGCTGACCTAATCTAGGAGAGGCGATCTAGGGGTAACATTCAGTTTGTCTACGGGAAGTGGGGGGTTTGTGTCCTAGAATGACAGGGTTGGAAGGAGTTTCAGATGTCATGTAGGATCATAGGTTCCAAAGCTAGAAGGGACCTCAGGCTATGCAGTCCAGGCCCCTCATTTGACAAATGGGGATACTGAAGCCCAGAGATGTTAAGTGACTTATTTAGGGTCACACAGTTACTTGATGTCAGAAGTGGGATTTCAATCCAGGTGTTCTTGACTTCAAGTCCAGCATTCTCTCCCTTGTTCTATACTGCCTCTCAAATCTAGTTATTCCTTACCTGAAACAATTCTCCAATATAAAATCTCTTGACCACTTTTGCTTAAATACTTCTGGGAAATAAGGGTGGGTCACACTGACATCATCCTGAAGAATTAGGGGCTTGTTCTGATCTAGATGATGTAGAGAATGGAGGGAGACTCAGGGTGTTATTGTGACAGTTCTGAGAGATTTGGGAGTCATACTAACCTAATCCTGTTTCATGGGGATGTACTAATGCCAGGCAGAGGGCAGTACCCACACCTGCATCCACCACATTCCCTCCAGCCAGCAGCAGGTCCCTCCCTAGGATGGAACACGTGTCTGTGACAGGGAAGGAAGACAGGTTAATGGGGGACCAGAGAATGTTTCATTCATGCCCACACCTATGCCCCTGCTTCTCTTCCCATCTCCCATCTCTTTTCCCCTCCCATCCCACTGACCTGACTCACTGATGACCACTCCATGAGGATATATGCCAGGATTGTGGTGGTGTCCAGATGGGTGATGATCAAGGCTCTGGATCTTAGAAGCTGCCATTTCCTGGTCCTGGTTGGAGGCCCCCCTAGGCCGCAGTTGTCTGGCAGCTAAGTAGAAACTTAGTCCAAGCAGCAGGAGGGCTGAGAGGATCCCGGCCCAGGCCTTAAGCCTGCTTTGCCAGTTTTGTGCAGGATTTCTGTGGATACAAAGAGTGGGTGGGTGGAGAACCTGTCAAGGAAGCTAAGCTTGTTAGGCAGGTTCTTTCTGGGGAAAATCTTACTAAGCTAGTGATTGTAGATGGAGAATACTAGTTTGGAGTAGGAGGTCTGGGATTCCTGTGACCAAATTTGCTGCCTCAGTGGCCAGTACCGGACTCCTGAGGGCAGTAGTCCAGGGTTGCAGATATGCTTCGAATCTCAGACCTTTGGACTAAACCTCATTGGAGCAAAACTTCACACATATGTTCCTTTTGCCTCAATTTCCTCACCTGCAAAATGGGCACAACAATAATCTTTGCACTGCCTACCTAGAAGAGTCATTGTCAAGAAAGTACTTAGTAAACTTAAAAGCCGTATAGAAATGCGTTATTATTATTATTCAAGTGGTTTCTAGGTAAGCTCAGGGCTCAGCAGGCTCAGACAGGTAAGCAGTAGTCATAAGACCAGACTCAGAGGAAAGGGAACTTTGGGAGACCAATTGGAATATTGACCTTATAAAAAATAGGATAATGCAGGGACATCCCTCCCAGGGACTTTCACTTGCTTTCTTTTCCCTCTTAGCATGCAAAGTAGGTACAGGGCAAGGTCAACATCCCCTTAGGATTCACTGACCTCTGCCCCTGGGCCTCGTGCTCCCCTCAACTCACGCTTGTAGAGCCCTTGGGTGACCTGGGTCTAGAATTAGCACGGTCTTCATGTCATCCTCCCCCTCTTCCTCTTCCTGAGATCCAGACTCCGTTTCATCCTCCTCCTCCTCCTCTTCCTCAGATCCAGACTCCTGGAGAAGTAGCTTCTGATACTTCACAGATCCCAGACAACCAGACTGAGAGTCGACTCTGGTCTGCTCCATTTCTCAGAAAACTCACCTGTGGGTGAGTGAGCAGTCTGAGCCAGGGGCTGTAGAAGAAGAACAGGGCTCTATGGGTTCTATGAGCGAGGGGATAGTTCCTGTGTCAATGCTGGGAAGGTCAGGACAGAGGAAGGGGTGGAGTTAGGGTTCCCACACCTGTTGGAACTTGACCTGTGAGAAGGAGCAGGTCTATCTGGTGGCATCAGGATTTCTGGTGCCAAACTCTAGAGGGTGGGTGGGTGAGCAAGGTCTGAGATGTCTCTGGGCGAGAGACGGGATCTTTGCTACAGAGGGAGCTAGAGCTCTGCTTACCCTGCTCTCCATGTTGAGAGGGTTAGAAGCTTCTGAACTCAGGCAACTGGCCCTACCTGGCCCATCTCTTCCCTGGTTCCTCGTGAGTCTTTTGGTCCCTTATGCCCTCTAGTGGTGATGGCTAGTATTGCTCAAGCTCCCTCCTGGAGCAGGGAACCAGGAATTCAGAGATTTCTTGGTTATACCCTTTTGGGAGTCCATAGCCCTTCCCCTTCATTACCAAGCTTGTGAATGACGGAAAAGGAGGAGGAGGTGAGAGGATAGGTGTGCATGTCTCCCTGATAAAATGCATGTTTCCCGAGGGCAGAGAATGTTTCATTTTTGTCAGTGAGGTGATCGAACGAATAGAGTGAAGGGTTTATGGTCAGGAATAATAACAGCATTTCCCTCAGAGGGTTGTTGTGAAGATATGATGGGAAAACATAGGTAAAGTTCTTTTCAAACCTCAAAGCGCTATTTCAAAAGCAAAGCGCAAGCTATTATTTGCATCCTCAGTGCCCAGCACATAGTAGGAGCTTAAGAAAAAATGTTTTATCAAAATTTGCATCCTGACTATTGTTTCAGGAAATATTCCCTCTGTAGTTTTAGGATATATTGGTGATAATAGGATCTACATGGTATGAAATATTGCAAGAATTTGTGATGTCTTCAATTCCTCTAATTGTCTGGGTAGGCTATATTACATGAAGCCTTGTACAAGGGACAGGTAGGTGGCTGGATAGAGCACTAGGCCTGGAGTCAGGAAGACCTGAATTCAAATCCAGCCTCAGACACTTACTAGCTGCATGACCCTGGGCAAGTCACTTAACCCTGTTTGCCTCAGTTGCTTCATCTGTAAAATGAACTGGAGAAAGAATCAAATCTGGCCTCAGACACTAGCTTTGAGTCCCTGGGTAAGTCACTTAACTCTGTTTGCCTCAGTTTCCTTATCTGTAAAATGAGTTAGAGAAGGAAATGGAAAACCACTGCAATATCTTTGACAGAAAAATCCCAAATGGGTTCACAAAGAGTCAGACACAACTTAAAAGACTGAACAACAAATTCCTTGTATATCTGGTGAATTTAGCGGCATAATCTGAGTTTTTTTGGAGGTATATACCATCATTTTGTGATTTGAGGGTACATATTACACATAAACATTATATTTCTTATGAGACATATCTTCCCTCCCCCCCAACATTTTATGACTTATGGAACAGATGGAGGAGGAGATGAACTCCAATCCTTCTCAGAAGTCTGTGATGACCCTTGCCTTCCCAAACGAGGGCAGAATTGTCTCTGTCTCTTCTTTACTCACACAGAACTCATACAGATCTGTACTCTGTTCAGATAATTTCCCTCTGCTCAGTTTCAGGTCCTGAGACTCAGGTCCTATAACTAGCAGTACATCTGCTAGAAAGAAATCTTTCGGGACAGCTAGGTGGCACAATGGATAGAGCACCGGCCCTAAATTCAGAAGGACCTGAGTTCAAATCCAACCTCGGACACATAACACTCACTAGCCGTGTGACCCTGGGCAAGTCACTTAACCCCATTGCCTAGCCAAAGAAAAAACAAAACAAAAACAAAAAAGAAATCTTTCTAGGTTCTTTGGAGAAAAATTGGTCCCTGGGGGAGGCAAGGAGACAGTAAGACTCCTCAGAGAGGAAATGTGCTACAATGTTAGCAACCATTAGCGAGATACGGAGTTAGAGAATGATGACTATGCCAACTAGTATTTATCCAGCATTTTCAGGTTTGATATACAGAGATTATCTCATTTGGTCCTTAAAACAACCCTGGGAGGTAGGTGCTATTATTACTCCAATTTACAGATGAGGAAACTGAAGCAGAGAGTGATAAGGTGTCTTTCCCTGAGTCACACAGCTAGGATGAGGGTTCATATCACCTGTTACTTACCACCTCTGTGACCTTAGGCAAATCACTTAACTTCTCAAGGGCCTCATTTTCCCCATCTGTAAAATAAGAGGATTGGACTAAATAAATGGCTTCTAAGGCCCTTTCTAGCTCTAAATCTATGATCCTAGGAAATCAAGTTAAAAATCTTTTTTTCTTTTGGTTATTATTTTTTCTAATTCTGCATCTTAATCTTATGCTTTTCTAGAAGTATTTAGCCAAGTCTTTTGGGTATCAAAAGCTTGCCGAAGACAGTGGCATGGAGGGTTAACTTCTCACAAACCTGTGAGGGAAGACCACAGGCCTGATTCGGAAGAGAGAGGCAAAGTCTGGGCCCTGCCTTTGAACCAAAAAAAAAATGGATGAATTTGAAGCTGCTTTTTTAGACCTACTGGTCTTTGAATTGTCTTCCTCAATAGAGTGGAGTTCTTCAGTAATCATTGAAAATGATCTCTTTATCTGGATCCTGAGGGTGAGAACAACTTCTGGGAAAATCCAGTCCAGTGTGGTCCAATCCAGTCTAATCCAATTTAATCCAAGTCAATGCAACAAGCCTTTATTAAATGTCTATTACTGTGTTAGGCAGGAGGGGCACAAAAATGGAAAAAAAATAAAAAAAATTCTTGTCCTCAAAGCTCATTCCAGGGAATGGATGAGAGATATTGAAAAGCCCTTTTTGACTATTCTGGGGAACAGGTCGAGGGGTTAAAAGAGATGGAAGGAAAAAGAAAGGCAATGACTAAAATGCAGAACATATTTGATAATTTTAAGAGAGTTTTCTTCTTATTTTGCTCTGAATGCTGTATGCCTTTTGTTAATGCTGATGGTACTACTTAATAATCAAAGTTTAAAAATGTATAGGAGTAGATAAAGCATTTATTACGATCTTGCTATGTGCTAGGTGCTGTACTGGGAATACAAATGCAAGATAATAGGGAGGCCATAAAGAGTAGCTGACAAGGCATAGGGTTGAGGGGTACTTGTTGGTCTGGAGGTGGGTGGGAAGTGCTGAGAAGGTGTGGTGCTTGGCTGTGTGAGGAGAAGAGGTAGTGTACCAGGGGTAGATTCCAAAAATCCAGCCTCAAGCGCTTATTAGCTCTGTGACCCTGGGGAAGTTACTTAACCTCTGTCTGCCTCAGTTGCCTCATCTGTAAAATGGAGATAATAGCACCTACCTCACAGGGTTGTTGTGAGGATCAAACGAGATGATACTTATAAAATGCTTCTAGCACATTGTAGGTATAAGCATTAATAAATGCTCATTTCCTTCCTTCCAAGGTCCTGGTGGAGGGAGTGGGAGACAGCTAGAATGATTTGGAGATGGCCAGGACAGGGATTGGACCTGTGATTGATTTCATTGGTATAGTGGAAATTTCTTCTATAAATGCAGGCTGGCACCCTGCCTGCGAATTTGAGGGCTGCCTAGAGCACTGAAACATTAAGTGTCTGGCACAGCCGATATTTGTAAGGAACAGCACTGGCACCCAGGTCATCCTGGTTTTGAGGCCAGCTGTCTACACTTCACACCATACTGGTTCTCTTTAAGAGTTTGGATACACTTACTAGCTGTGTGACCCCAGGCAAGTCACTTAACTCCAATTGCCTAAAAAAAAAGAGTTTGGATGAAAGTTTTTTTGGATGTAATCTGGGTTAAGCGACTTGCCCAGGGTTACATAGCTAGTAAGTGTCAAGTGTTTAAAGCCGGATTTGAACTCAGGTCTTCCCAATGCGAGGGCCGGTGATCTGTATACTTTGCCACCTAGCTGCCCTGAAGTGTTTCTTTCTTTCTTTTCCTATGATAGTTTTGCAGCAGGATGTTAGTGGATAGGCACTGGATTTGGAGTCGGGAAGTCCTGGGTTCAAATCCAATCTTAGATACTAACTGGGTGAACCTGGGCAAATCACTTAACCTCTTTGTACCTTAGTTTCCTCTTCTGTAAAATGAGAGTTTAGACTCAATGGCTTCTAAGGTCCCATTCAGCTCTAAATCTATGATCTTGTGATCCTATCATTAAATGTCAATCTCTGTGGGAGGGATGCTGGTTCATCGTCGCTCTTAGATAGCTTCAGCCTGCTGCCACCTGGTGGCTTGTCTTAGGTATTGTTCTGAGACAACACTCAAATTTTAGGCATTAACATTTAAAGCTAGAAGAAAGACGGCTTAGAAATCAGCGTGTCCAGTCCCCTCATTTTACAGATACAGGGTTCCCCGGTCATTGTCCTGGGTTTGTGTTTCCTTATCAAAGTGGCCCTCTGTTGTGGAATTAATGGGGTCTCAGCATAAGGTGTGAAATTCTTCAAAATCAGTTCTTTCACAAGGCTTAAATCCCTTTTGTCCTGAACTCTAATCAGACTGATGCTGAGGTCTTTATTCTGTCATTGAAATGTTTCCTTGATAAGGTAAGACCCTTGCTAATGACTCATGGTTGGAAATTGATGATTCAGGGGTTCACAGACCAGAGTTCCTCTGCTGCCATCCTTGGGCTCCACATTCCACCTCTCCTAGGGGAGGGGTCACATACTGTAGATCTCTCTCCAGGGAATACAGTTCAAGGCTGTGAATCATTCCCTTCCTCTCTGTCCATCAGGTTCTCACTTCTCTAGTCTCCTGATTTTGGAATCCTTGCGTAGCATTTTAAAAGCCAACCAAGGGTATAGGTCAGGTGAATGAATTAGTTGTGTAATCATTAATCATCCTCAATCTGTATTAACATGAGAACACAGAAAATTTAAATCTTACCAAAGAGACCAAAGACCTCTCAGTGGGGCAACAGATCAAAAGTACTAAGGGAAATTTATTTCTTATCAAGAAATTGGCTTGGTCTACTGGTCTAATTGGTCTATTGAATTTCACATCTTGTTCTGGAGTTCTCATCAGTACCAGAACCAAGGGTTTATTAAGCACCTACTA